ACACACACACGCATCAGTGCTACTCATAACACGGTCTTCAGACAACTGATTTTATAATTAAACATAGAAATCGTATCATATCATTTTTATCTAAACTGTAACCATTGCATTATTATTTTCGGAACCGATAACAGCTTATTTAGAAGTCAAGATAAATAGGATCAATCACAAAAGTGAATGTTACAGATCTGCCATATGATTAACCAATATTTATTAAATTATAACGAGATCAATATAAATATAAATAATTGAGATACTTATAAGTAATAATCGTAGTATTTGACTACTGAATACTATTTCTCAAACTCAACACAATGTCTGTTGTTTTAAATAATCTGTCACTCGTACGACAATAGGACAACACACTGGACTGTGTGATGGCTATTTAATTTTATGAACAAACACAGAAACAAAGGTAAGTTATGACAAGTTGTAATTATGAACTGACCCTCACACTCGGCTACGCTGACATGGTATAAAGATTAGCACATTCATTAAATGCTCTCGTCCCTAAGTCCCCAGGTGACTATACTAGAGGCAGCACTAGCTAAGTGTACCAATGTCAGTTAACTTCAATCATACACACTACAAGTGACTGGCAAGGCAACACAATATTTTTTTAATGGCAATATTTATGTTCAATGTATACTTACGATTTTTATGTATGAGAAGGACTCGAATATACCCTTCTTAATAGATTATGAATTAAATAGTGGTGGCTCAAATATGCTAATGAAAGTTGTTAAAGTATTATCATATTTATGATCTCGACATTATACTCTTCTACTTTATTTCTCGATCGCTAATGCATTGATTTTCAACATACATTATGCAGTTTGTCAACTTTATACTTTAAACTCACCTGAAAATCTGACTGCAAACATTTCACATTCTAAAAGAAAACTCGGTACACAATACGAGCGAACGAGGAAATCTGGCATCCGGCCTGCTCTCTTCAGCGAGTAAGAAAAGACACACACACACACACACAACAGACAGATGACACTTGTCGAGATAGGATCCTTGAGATTCGCAGGGTACTAATTTAGACTTGAGCGGCGTGCGGTAAGTAGTTGTCCACCGGCTGCACCTTCTGGGCGATGTCGACGTTGCCGTTCTTCTCGACGACGGTGTCCTTGACCTGTTTGACGGTGGCGACGTTGTTGTTGTCGCTCTCGTCGCTGCACGCGCAGGACATGTCGTCGTTGACGGTGACGGTCACTGTGCGCGCGTCCGTCTGTTCGTCCTCCGCGTACTTGACCATGAGGTGCGCGTGCACGATCGGCTCCGGTTTGTTCTTCTGACGGCGTCGACGGTGGGTGTTGTCGGTCGCGTGGCCGACGTGCGGCGGCCGCACGTACTCGGACGAGGAGGACGTCTGCCTCTGGTAATATTTCAGGTTCTTACGGAAACCGCAGCGACACGCTTTCAGAGCTTTCTCCCGTCTGCAAAGATGAAACGCCTATTAGATATATGATACATATATTGGTATCTAACCTAATAACTATTGTAATATTTGTTTAAAAATTTGTAATTAAACATTAATAAGTTGTGATGAATCTTATTGATACGATAAAATAGAGAAGTTGTAATAAGTAAAGGTCGCTTCTCCTCAATAACTCTAAATTATAGTTGCACCTATACCGTCACCGTCTGTGAGCACTAGTGTGTAAGATGATTCTGTTTAAACGAACTTGTAATGTCTAATATATTGTGCAACTTAAATTTGTCCGATGACTATAACAACAATGTATGTACAATATGGTAATTCCTTACTCGGCGATCGCTCTCTCTCGCTGCTCCAGTTGTAATCTGACAGCGCATACTTCCATGTAGAGTTCGTTAGCTCTCGACAACTGTTGTTCATAAACTTGTCGCACGTCTCTCGCTTGTTTCAGCTCCTCCCTGCGCTGTGTCGTAGTCTCCTGGAGGGGGGGCTGCTCGCTCCTGCACACACACAAACACACATATACATATACACAAGCTCCCTATTATGATGTAGCTTCAATTCAAAGAGACGGTCCAATAGTTCAGATTCTATTCAATGCAAACAAACAATAAAATATTTCCTCTTTATAGTAATATTAGTATAGATAAATACAAAAGAAACAAATATGGACCGATTTCGTCACCTTGTGGTGCCCACAACTTCAGAACTTGATCTCCCGTTGGTCACAAAAGATTCACACAAGTAAACGAACCTGGCGTAAAATTTCTCCATGCCCTGCTGTACTTCTTTACGCCATGTGGCTTGCGTAGCACTGAAGCAGTCGGCACGCATGGAACAGAGCTCATCCCGGGCTATCTCCAAATGTGCAGCGATTATCTTGAACGGTGGCCTACATTACAAATTTTTAGTTAAATATCGGCGTTCATAGTATCCCTTTATTTGTGCTTATTTATGTGTATATAGTTCTAATAACTTGCTATAATATGTACCTACACATATTTATATTCACATACGAGGGTCAAACTGAAAGTTCTTAGAACTGGCCACTTATAAACAATATAATAAAAAAATAATTCTAAAATTTGAAAATATAACTCTTTGCCAATATTACTGAGTATATATTTCATTCATTTGTCATTTGTTTTACGATTTGGCGGCAAATTGAAAATTGTCTGTGTCACGTCATCATGAATTTAACACGAGAAAATTTTCGTGCAATGATTTTTTATGACTTTCGATGTCATTTAAGTCAACAAGAAAGTTATGATAGACTACGATTGGCCTTTCACGATGAAGCCCCATCTCGTGCGACTGTTTACAACTGGTTTAATGAGTTTAAACGTGGTCGCACTAATCTCACTGATGATTTACGTGAGGGACGGCCTTCTACGGCGACGACTGAAGATAACATCTGTGTTGTGCGGCGTATGATAGAGACTGACAAAAGAGTGACCTATCAACAGATTCGGACAAGCTTAGGCATCGGTATGAGTCAAGTGCACAAAATCCTCCACGAACATTTAGCGGTCAGGAAGCTTTGCGCCCGGTGGATACCTCATAATTTGACTGAGGCTCAAAAACTCCATCGTGTGGATTGGTGTCGTAAAATGATTGAAAGATTTAACGGAGGTGACTCAAATGCTGTGTTCGACATACTAACAGGTGACGAAAGCTGGATTTACTGTTATGATCCTAAAACCAAAAGACAATCTGCTCAGTGGGTGTTTCCTTTCGAGGAGTTGCCAACTAAAGTGAAGAGAGATCGAAGTGCGGGAAAAAAAATGGTGGCCTCGTTCTTTGGAAGGATAGGTCATTTTGCAACAATTGTGTTAGAGGATCAAAAAACAGTTTCTGCAGAATGGTACACTACCAATTGTTTGCCACTTGTCTTGGAAAAAGTTCGAGAGAAACGACCTCGCAGTAGGATCCTCCTTCACCACGACAACGCCTCGTCGCACACCGCCAAGCGAACGATCGACTATTTGGCGACATCAAACGTTGAATTACTGGGTCACCCGCCGTATAGCCCCGACCTCGCGCCTTGTGATTTTTATTTATTTCCAAAAATTAAAGAAAAACTTAAAGGAAAGCGGTTTATGAATGCTGAAGAAGCGGTGGCTGCGTATCGCGATGCCATTGAAGAGACCCCTAAGGACGAGTGGGCAAAGTGCTTTTCCCAGTGGTTCCATCGCATGCAGCGGTGTATTGACGTGAATGGACAATATTTTGAAAAGATATAATAAAACTAATAACTGGCTAATGTAATCAGTTTTTGATTTTCTAAGAACTTTCAGTTTGACCCTCGTATATATTAAAAAGTCTTTTTAATATCATTAAAAGTAAAAATTTTAAAGAAGATAACTCCCAATTCATATTTGGCAAATGTGTAATTGTTATTGTTACTGTCAAATTGAGTAAATCTGATGACCAAATTATACACATTTTAAAATTTTATTATAAAAAATAAAAATTGCAACACAAGCCGCGAAAAACAAAATTGCGACTGTTATGGACCTAATGCAGTTTCTGTGAGAGTGGCACAAATTTGGTTTAAGTGTTTTCAGTCCTGAAATTTTGATGTCGCCTTCGATCAGCCTGTTACGGATAACTATTGACAAAATAATTTTGGCGCATTTGAAATAACTTGGATATTTGGGTACCTCATTGGCTCACTGAAAGAAACCTAATGAACCATGTACTCATGAATGAGTCTTTATTACGACGTAATGAAACCGAACCATTTTTGAAAAAGTTGACAACTGGTAATGAAAAGTGGATGACGTACGACAAAAACGTTTGAAAAAGGTCATGGTCAAAGGTTGTTTAGGCTTCACAGTTATTAAGGCAAGAAGTTGAGAGAAAGCAGTCACAATTAATCAAGAGAAGGGGTGTGGTTTTTCATTATGATAAGACAATTCAATCAAGATAATTCTTTATTTTTACCGAGTGGCAAAAGATGTGTGAGATCTAAAACGTCTTTTGCCACTCAGTAAAAATAAAGAAAGTTTGGCTGGGACATATAGTTCTGACCTTGCACCTTCAGATTTCCACCTGTTTCGGTCTATTCAGAATCCTTTAGGCAGCGTCAGGTTGACATCACGCCAGGACTGCCAAAGTCACTTGTCGCGGTTTTTTGATCAGAAGCCACAAAATTTCTATAGCAATGGGATCATGTCCCTGCCTACAAGGTGGCAAAAAGTTATCGTACGAAATGGTATCTACATACTTTAGTTAATTGTAAATAGACTTTATTAAAAATTGTTTTGAATTTCATGTAAAATGCGAAGAAACTTTTTCCCGAGCCTATAACGTAACAAAAGCTCACCTATTTCTCGGTACTCGGTTCCAACACTGATTGAGCAATAGTTGCAAACTCTCCGGGCATGTGGTGGGTATAGGCAGGGAGATGGTGTCAGTTCCGACACCCCACATGATGGCGTGAGTCTCCAAGTTCTTGTACGGCACCTCCTGAGTGAGCAGCTCCCACAGTACCACGCCATAAGACCACACGTCTACCCTCTCGGAACAAGGTTCGTGACGTATCACTTCGGGAGCCATCCACGCTACTGTTCCCGTGAAGCTCATGATTGTGCTGACATCATCCCACTCTCGGCTAGTTCCAAAGTCACTCACCTTCACTACCAAGTTGTCTGCTATAAGTATACTGTAAGAAATAACTTGATTAAGGCTAGATAATATATATATATATATATATATATATATATATATAGACGTCGCTGCCGTTCAATTGCATTAATTATAGCATTAACTTAAGGGCAGAAAAATAATTTCTTTTAATTTAAAACTCACTTAGGGCTTTTAAGGTCGCGGTGAATGATCTTATGATTATGTAAATATGTCATCCCGTGCGCTATCTCTTTCGCCCACTTGAGTATTTGCTTGGGAGCGAAACACGCACCACTATGGAGGAACTCGAACAGGGGCCCGTACTGACAGAACTCCATGATCACCCCATACACTGGAGCTTGCGTACACACACCACGGAAGCGTACTGGAACAAATTAAAATAAATACGGAACGTTTGGCTGGCCGTGCGTCTGTGTGTGCTATAATCTTTGAAATAAATTAATCAATAACAGTCTTACCAATATTTTCGTGATTGAGTTTCCTCAGGTGTTTAATATTTGTCTCACTCTTATCACGTAGTTTTTTGACAGCCACCATTTCGCCTCGCAGGTTTCCTCCAAACACTACACCCTGGGCGCCAGACCCCAAGTACACCATATCAGTAATCGCTTCAAATGGAACTTCCCATTCATCTTCTGGCAAAGAAATGAATAAAATTATTATTGTATCTCTGCTGGTATACTAGTTGACAAGAAGTTACTTCTTCCAGTGATCTGACCATCTTTTCCTACAATTTTATAACTATTATAAGAACAAGTTAAAACAGTAAATACAATTTGAATATCTTTTACTAGGACGATGCATTGCACACTAAAGAATATTATTTTATTAATTCCGCTCTGCAGATGAAGAAAAAATCGCATAAGAATGTCATGTTGATATAACTTCAAAAAATAAAAAGAAAACCTGAACTCTATTCACAAAACAGATGCATAGAGTAGAAGATTAAAAGATGTCAATAAAACAAGAACAATGCCATCTAACAATCGATTTCGAAATAAAAAAATATAAATGACTAGCACTGTTCTTAGCCTTCTAGGAATTCACTTTTATAATTAATATGCATATTTTTATAACAAATCTGACACTATTGACATAATGGCGGGTCGTGTTTGTTTTTTAATACTTTTCATATAATTGATCAGTTGGATCTCTTTTTTTTTTTGCTTTGTTACATATTATTTTTATTTGGGATTTTATAAAATGTGAATCTGTATTTATAATGTATTGTAATGTAATGTAATGCATTTATTTGATAAGAACTGAGCATTTGTAGTTAACATAATAAGGTCATACAACATTTTTTAAGGTTTTTAGAAGCACAAATGGATTACATACAGTTTCTAAAAAGAGTTAATAACCAATTAGGTTACATACTACAAAAAAGCATCGGGTATTGTTGATTGTATAGCTTTTTAGCATTCAGTGTTAGGAGCCGTCCATAAATTACGTCATACTAAATTCTGGATTTTAAAATTTCACCTGACTAACTTTCACGGTTCATGAGATATGGTTTGATGACAGATAGACGGCAAAGTCTTAGTAAAAGGATTCCCTTTAAGTATGTAACTTTTCCTTGGTGAAGGAATAATTAACATTCGCTGTATAAGGTAGGATAATAAGGAAGCTTTACTATAAATAATAAGTAAAGCTTCCTTATTTATAAATAAATCCATAATGTTTGCTTGAATAAATGGTTACAAAATAAAAATCAATCGCATTTGCATTCTTTTAAAAACATAACAATACTGCACACCGCTTGACATACATTGACATATCAATTAACTTTCATAGGAAATATTCAATACAAATTACTGGTATTAATAACAAAGTTAAATAAATTTTAGCAAATAGTACTTAACATGTTTTGTAATTCATTCATTAAACAAAGTGACTATCAACAAATTTTAGCCCTGTTTTTGTAAGTATAGGTAATTATGTTTGTTTAAAATGTAATAATGGTTGAATTTCAGAAATAAGTCTCTCCATTCTATGGTGCCATTTAATTACATTTGGTCTAATAACAATTGTGTGATTAAAGTAGGTGTAACAATATATCTGTTTCCTACTGTGTTGTCATAGTAAAAGTACCTACATGTAAATACTTGACACTATTGCAATCAAACAAACAAAATCTTTACTAATTTGCTATTGTAGCAATAAACAGAATTTAAATATAAAATAGATCAAATTTGACACAGCACTCAGCTTTCCAATTTATCAACATATGACCGACAATCATGTATTATTTTCATGTCTCCTGAGTAAGGGTATTGCTTAAACATCCTCTATGGTTTGAAGCCCGAGATATGTAGACATATTTACTTCTGTATGTATTTAAACACTTTTATTGCAGCGGCATATCTACAACTAATATTCATATACAAATCAAGCTTGACTAATATTTAATTATTAATAATATTTATTTGACAATATTAAAATCGCTATAAGGCAAATTTTGGTGGTCACCACATGCTGAGCCCAACTTCACAATAAAAGTTAATGATCTGTGTTATTTACACTCTGATAACCTTCCACATGACCTTATAGTTATTAATTATCCATCCTTTATGGAATTAATAAAGCCAAAAAACAATCAATCAAGGTATATGCATAAAAAAAATATTCTATACGTAAATGACGCAATAACCGAGTCGTGACAAGTTTCAACCTAGAAGGGCATAACGTATGTAAATAACACAAAACAAAGCTGCAGTTAATCTCCAGCAAAATCAATCAAGTTTAACACCTGCGTAGCGCATCGTCCTTGAATGCAATGATTCGCAAGGACTCTAGGAATGGGTCACAATACGACCTAAATACCAAAGTTACAAACCTTTTGATGTTTTCAAATCTGTACGCCCAAAAATTGATAAAACTGTTGAGAAACAGTCCATCACGCCTCCCATCCAAAATAAATTTTTCTTATCTGCATCGTTAGTGAATGGCCCAAGGGCTCTTTGGTAGTCTCTAAGACTTTGTGAGACCACAGCTTTTTCTTCGTCTTGCACATTGGCTTCCATGGCTGACATTAATCAAATCAAGATATGAAAATGCGACAAATTGAAATTAACACTTAGCACATCATCAAATAAACACGTAATGTGCAAATTACATTTGCATTATTATTATTCATAAACATTAGAAACACAAACCAGTCCGACGCAACTCCATATACAAAAAATTGTCGTATGGAGTTAAAGGACATTTGTTATTGGTAGTACTGAAATTAGTATCGTTAGGTTGGTTTAACAAGAGTAGTGCTCTATGGGAGTCATAGATTATACATAATACATGGGAGTTTTGCAAGTTGAGCACGCCAAAATACTTATTCCATAAATATCGCTAATTATTATTTGGAATAAGTATTTTGGCGTGCTATACTTAGAGTTTTTTTTTATTACAAACTCTAAGTATAGCACGCCAAAATACTGATTCCATAAATATCCCTAATATTATATAGAATAAACAAGTCAAGATACATCTCAACTCTACTCTTTGACCTCAATGAGGGAGTATTTAAAAAATAATAGTTCCCGAAATCAAACTAGATATCGCTACGGTACGTTCTTGATTTCTCCATGACAACTCTTCCGGTTTTCTTTCATGTATAAAAGTAAATTCATTTTCAAAACTCAATAAACAACCTATATTCTATTTGTACTTTTTCGTATTTGTATTGATATCTAAGTTTCGAACTTTGCAAATTTCAGTTTTTTTTTTATATTATGTTAGTTAAAAGGAACGGAAATTACTATCTTTGGTCCATTAGTATTTTTTTTTAATACTTCCTCAACTTTTTAAGTTGTTTAAATTTCACGTACTGATTGATTTTAATATTTATTTTTATTTTTTGAGATAAAAGCAAAACAAATTAATAAAAATATTGTTTAATTATAACTTTCGCACATCTACCGATAAAATATACAAAGAAAATAAAATAATGAATATACGACAAACATATATTTATTCAACATGCATATTTATAAGGAAAATCTTAAATAAGGAAATCAACACCAATATAATTTTAAACGGAGATCGCAATTCCAAAAAATTAGATTACGCAGTGCTAAAAACTTGGTTCTTAGACCATCTAGAACAAATTATGGCAAGAAAAATATAGAATATGAAGGCTGCAAACTATACAATAAATTACCAAATGTTATAAAGAATACTAAAACAATGACGAGTTTTAAAAAATTGCTTAAATCTTTCATTCAAAGCCACAGTCTTTGATAAACGTAACTACTTATAATATATGCATAGTAAAATAAACAAATATTATATATGAAAGAAAAAAACATGTAGTCAAATAATAATAACACAAATTCATATGCTATTTTTATTACGATAATCAAAATAATATTGAAACATAACCCTCCTTATGTTTACAGTCGGATATTAAAATACTTAAACGGGTGATAAATAGTTGAATGGGTTTGACAGTACATGAGTTATATATATTAAGAAATTGTTTTGTCTTATTATCAGTTTTAGATAATTCAAATGCCACATCTAGATGCAGGGCAGATTAAAAGCTTCGCACATCTATGTATTGCCCTAATAGTTAAGACTACCTTCTTTACTTGAAAAAAATAGTTTATATAGTGATTAAAAATCCAATTGTACGTTACGTTTTTCTTGGTGTTAAAATTGTTTATGTGTTGTAATTCTCAGTAAGTGAATTTTGGTAATTCTTTTGAGAATAAAGATTTCTATAACCGTAAATAAATGCGGAAGCCACAAGGGCAACGCCATTAATTAAAAAGAAAAAGAAGATCTTAATATTAAAGTTTTCGCGATGAAAAGAGAGTGTGAAATATGTGGACTTGTAAATGGTTTATAAAATACTAAAATATGAAATAAGCTGAACGAAAAACTGGATTATGGTTAAATCCACAAGGACAACGCCATTAATTAAAATGAAGAAGAAGACAAACTGTTAAAAAGTTTTTTATTGCCGGTTTACCTTCTGACATAAATCGGTAAGAAAATTATTAATAATAATAATGTACCGTTATAACAAAATATTTTTAACTACTTAACAACTTATTAATTACTAAACATTTAATTAATTTCGTCTTCTATTATTATTTGGAAAATAGTGATGAAGAAACAAAAGCAAAATTTCTATACTTTTTTCAGCTGCAAGGAAAAAGGAAGTATTTAAAAAATAAAAATTAGTTCTTGAAATCAAACTAGAGGTCACTACCGATGTTTGGATTTTGTCTACGGTATTCATTCAAATTTTGTTTCTGACGTATTATTTTATTATAAATTTACTTTTAGTAAATTAAATATTGGAAATTAATAAATATGACATTTGAATCGTAACTTTAAGTTATTTATTATAAGTATAACGTGTAAAGGGAAAATGTGATGAGCCAACTTTTTGGTTGCTTGTTACTTCAATTGACATCAGCTTGTTTTTTTTTGTGCCAAATTTTCATATGTGCCATTATCCATCCACACGTTGAATATTATATTAATATAAATATTAATTCAGTCTAGCCTGATACATAGCACTTGTGAAAGTTGAAAACATTGTCAACGGTTCGCAAAAGTAAAGCGGGAGACATTGTACTGAAAAGAACCGGCAAGAGACTCGGCAAGGACTGATTATAGTTTAATTTAACTATTGTTGCAGTGCCCTTATCAGGGTTCATGTCAAGGTGCATAAAAAAAACAACATCTGTTTCACCACATGAAAGCAATAAATGAGTTTGAGTTTGAGTTTGAGCTTTTTTCTCTCTGTTTTATTTCAAACAGAGAAGTCTTATTGGAATATGACTTAATTAAAATGTAAATTTAGTTTCCATTATAATATCAGAAATTCTACATACTCATTGACAATTCGATATACAATATTCATAATAAAAGAAAATGGATAAAATTAAGTAGTCCAATGCAGACCCACTGGCACCCGTTGACGAGATTGACACATGAGTCAGCAATAGCTTCGCTCATCTATATTAGAGGGACCGTAACGACCCGACTCACACGATACCACCGTAGAGATTTTTTTAACACCTTTGCTCGTAAAGCTGATGTGTTTCCACCGGTTTTTTGAATATGTAAAGCGGGTCATAAAAAACGCGTGTGTTACCAAAGCAAATAGTTAAATTATAGTCCATACAAATTCCATAACAGTATTATTTGCCATATCGCGCGCTGTTGCTATTCAAATTTCGCACTAATCGCCGCGCGGCGCCAGTCAGTAGGCAGCGCTAGCGCGCTGTTAAAATGGTGGGAAAGCAACAGTGTACATTCACAGATTGAGTTTATTTAATGTTTTTTTTCTCTTTCCTCGCAAATGTGTTAAAAAAGTCGTACGATATACGTGCCTTTTGGTTATAACATGCTCGGCTCAATTACGCCCTCGCCTTCGGCTAGGGCTGAAATTCCGCCTCGCATGTTATAACCATCATAACGCACTAATATCGTAATGTACTATTAAGAGAGCATGATTAATCTAGGTACTTAATCAAGTTGACATGCAAGTTCGGTAGCGATAGTATAATAACTGTACGTGTCTTTGTGATTTTGAAATTTAAAGTTTAAACCTTGCTGTTCGTTTCGAATGGACGTTTCTTGTTGGTTGTTGAATTTTTATTAAGATGATTTAATTATGAATATAAGATTTGATAAGAGGAATTTGATGCCTTTAAATAGGTATTCTCTGAACTCCAAATAAAATAATATGTAAGATAAATAGATTTATGTATTTTCTTGATAAATATTTAAACAGAAGTAACAAACTGACAATGACAAAGAATATAAAGAGAAAAACAAACTGGCCTATCAAAAGATATATGAAAGAAGGTTGATGTGTAAACTAAATAGTTCCAACACTTCCCCTACTTCTGAATACATTAATAGGCCATCATAAATCTAAAATTAAACCTAATCTTTTCGTTAAACACTGATGTTTTTGCTTCGATAGAAATTGTTACGGACGGCGCCGGCGGCCACCGAATCACCTCCCCGTTTTGACTAAGTTTCTGTGGGGGATCAAACTGTATTTTGATCCCCCACAGAAACTTAGTTAAGACATCTGCCTTCATTTCATTTATCGGAATATATTGTATACCAATAATACCACTAGCAACAGTATCCGTTATAAAATGATGTCTTACATCAATGTGCTTTGTTCATGAGTGATGAACGTTATTTTTTGTTAGCATTTGAGCTCCCTGATTATCGCTATAAATAAAGACACCATTATACAAACCAATCACTTCCTTTAATAAGTTTTTGAGATATATGGATTCTTCTGCAGCATCACTAAGTGCAATATATTCGGCTTCTGTTGTTGACAAGGCGACCGTTCGTTGTTTACGAGATTCCCAAAATATAGGTCCATTTAAATAAAATACATATCCAGTGTAGGATTTCCGGTCATTTAAACATGCACCATAATCAGCATCAGTATATCCCGTAAGTGTGAGTATATTTTTTTTCTGGAATTGGAGTTTAAGATGGATTGTCCCTTTTAAATATCGTAGAACTCTTTTTGCTGCATTCCAGTGAATTGTCTCATAATTAGAATTAAACTGGCTTAACACACTTACTGCATCAGAGAACCAACCAGCCTTTATAAGGCAAATGTTGAGCTGCTTCATTATCTTCATTTGAAGGATTCACTAATTTTAAATTAGGATCAGCAGGTGTACTAGCAGGTTTTGCATCAGTCATAGCAAAATTATTTAGTACCTTTTTAATATATTCTTCTTGATCAATGGTTATACCATTTTCCTTTTTTGTGATTCTCATTCCTAAGAAACATTTTAAGTTTCCTAAATCCTTGACCTTAAACAATTGTTTAATATACCTTTTAAAGTTTTCTTTCATATCAGCATTATTACTGAGAATGCAAAAATCATCAACAAAGGTTGCAACAATTAATATGCAAGTTTCATTTACTTTATACTATAGGCAATGATCATGTTCAGACCTTATCACTGTCTAGACGCTTGTTTTAAGCCGTAAAGTGCCTTCTTGTGGTCTTTTGACGACCTCCGTAGCCGAGTGGTTCGCACGCCGGTTTCAAGGTGTCGCCATCTCTGAGGTCTCGGGTTCGATTCCCGGTCGGGTCAATGTAGAAAAAGAACTTTTCTATATTGACTCGGGTCTGGGTGTTGTGGTACTCTTCGTTGTCTCAGATACTCCATAATACGGGGGCTTTAGCTACTCATCTTGGAATCTGAGTAATGTATGTGATGTTGTTAAATATTTATTTATTTATTTTATTTATTCTTTAACTGGCATACCTTCCCCTTGTTGCATTAATTAGTGAAACCCTCAGGTTGTTCCATGAATATTTCTTCATTTAGATCGCCCGCCGTTGAGAAAAGCAGTTTCAACATCTATTAGATCCATTGAGCTGCGAAAGCTAGTAGTAATCTAACTGTTAAAGGCGTGAAACGGGTGCGAATGTTTCATCATAATCTACGCCGTAAGTTTGTGTAAAACCTTTGGCTACTAATCGTGCCTTATAGCGTATATTTTCTGAGTTTTCATTTTTCTTTATCTTGAATACCCATTTACAACGGACTATTTTTCTATTTTTAGGTCTATCCACAAGGACCCAAGTTTTGTCAGTTACAAGTGAGTCATATTCGCTTTGAAGAGCCTCTTGCCATATATATTTATCATCAGAATTAATAGTTTACTTAAAGGTTGAACGGATATCATCTACTTCAGCTTTGAAAAAACTATATCTTCCAACCACTTTTTCGGGATTCAGTTTCTCAATGGATATCTCTTAACAGGTTGAGAAACTTGATCGTTCGTATTATCCGAAATTTCAGTAACACTGTCATAAAATTCTTCTTCAGTGTCGTCAATTCCAGTTACCTGTGTGTGTATTAAAGGTTCAGTTTTGATATTGTTGACTTCTCCTTCAGTTGGTATATTTTCAGAATTTTCTGTAACTATGATAGGGACGAATTTTGATACTCGAGTTCAAACTGTATCAAAAATATTATATTGATCACTTGACTGTGATTTGAATATAAAATTTATTTTCAAAAAATTTAACATCACTTGTCTTGATAAGAATTGCACCTGCACGCGGTACACCCTGCCGACTAACCAACGAAGCTCTGGCGCTCCCCACCAACCTGCACTGGGCCAGCGTGGTGGGAGACGGCCCAAAACCCTCCAAATATTGAAAGGCCCCAAGTGCCCGGCGGTGCTGTAAGCCGAGCCGGCGGGGACGGACGCCGACTCGGCAAAGGCACCAGGGGTGCGAAGAATCCCCGGGCGGCTAAGATCCCCCGTCAAACGACCTTGGCCCTGGCGACCTACAACGCACTCACACTGCGGACCTATAAGAATCTGCTGGAACTAGAGAAGGAATTGAGCAGGATTCGTTGGAGTATTGTAGGCTTATATTTAATTTTATGGTATATTTATAAATCCGAAGAGAGGGCGAGGACACTATGATCCTTAATCCGGCAACCTGCTCTATTTCCGTGAGGGCGTTCTGCAGTCTTCTGAAAATGCTCGTTGGCAACTCAATAGACAGATCTCGAAGTCTCTCACACTCGACATACGCCAATTTAATACTCAATGTATTAAAGAGGCGATTGAGCGGAAAAAAAGTTCCAAAGTGTTCGCTAGAGATCTGTCTCTCGGTCAGAGCTTGCTGATGAAGCTAAAGACGGAGGATTGCAAAGTCGTTACATCCCGTCCTGAGCTTGTGGCGGAGATCGAAATCTTCCATGGACAATTATACACAACATCACAGAAACCTGTCATTGCGGCTACAGACCCTAGAGCCAAATTAACCCGACATTATACCGAAGACATCCCGGACGTCAGGCTATACGAGATTAGTGTGGCCCTCAAACAGCTCAAGAACAACAAGGCGCCGGGGGATGACGGAGTCACAGCGGAGCTTCTGAAAGCGGGTGGACTACCAGTCCGGAAAGAGCTTCAGAAGCTATTTAACACCTCCATACTCGAGGGCTAGACGCCAGAAGCATGACACCACCGTTATCAGAATGCAGAATTTTAATCTTTTTGTCAGTTTGGTTCTCGACTAAGGTTTTGAATTCGCGAAATTTTTCCACAACGTCTGATTTTTGTTTTATCAGGTAGGTAAGGTAAATCGTCGGTGAAAGTCACAAAATATGAAGCACCTCCCAAAGATTGGGTACTCATAAATCCGGAAACGTCACTGTGAATAATTTCCAGCAAATTTGTCAATTTTGAATCTGACGTTTTGAAAGGTTACTTTGACAATTTACCTTCCACACAAGCAATGCAAAATTATCATTAATAGATCCAACAGGCTTTGGATACCTGACACCAAGAGCTAAGTGTAGTCTAAGCAATTCCATAGATACATTATATATACATATACATTATAAGATATAACGAGTACTGAAATGGTCTGATTATGTAATAGAAGTAGGCAGGAAATAGTGGTTACGAGCTGCGGATTTAAATGCGAGCTTGTATGGGGCGTTACGAAAATCAAATAGTAATGCATTCCATAGTCGGATGGCAGTCAGAGTGAAAGAGCTGGATACTGGATGAGGAGGTGTTTAAAGGATCTGGAGCGAAGATTTTTCTGGTAGGAGGCCCCGAGGAAGTGAAACTTAGATTTCAAATACTCAGGAGTATGTGGATCGAAAAGAATATTGAAAAGGGTACATACGATCTTTAAGTTTCTGCACTCACGAATGGGCCGGCACTAAGTTGTTGATGGAAGTGAGAAATGTAGTCATATTTACGTAACCCGAAAACGAAGCGAAGGGTATTATTGAGAAGACGATCCAGTCTGTTGAGAAAAATCTGATTGACATCTGAAGTACAAATATCAGCATAATCAAAAAGGGGATGTGCAAGGGATTGAATATCAGAAAAGAAACTCAGTCGATATAGAAAACCAAGACTGCGGTGTATTTTGCTGATATTTACAGATATTTTCTATCTGCCCATCCCAGTGCAAAGAACTATCAAGGACAAACCCAAGATTTTTCACAGTATTAGTATATGATATTACCGTGCCACCATAAACAACAGCCGGAATTGAAAATCTGTTGAGCTTTGCAATTTGACGTGGGTTACCGATGATAATGGCCTGACATTTGTCGGTTTCTCTTTGGTTTAACGTTATAAATTGACATTTAGATCCTACAATTTGTGTTGAATTTTGTTTATTTTTTAAATCCTATTAATATTATAAAGGCGAAAGTTTGTAAGTATGGATGTATGGATGTTTGTTACTCTTTCACGAAAAAACTACTGGACGGATTTGGATAAAACTTTACAGCAATATAGGTTATACATCAGAATAACACATAGGGTACTTTTTACTGGGAAAACTTCTCACTCCCACGGGATACCGACTTCCACGCGGACGAAGTCGCGGGCGTCCACTAGTACTTATTATTTATTAAATAATGTATGTACACCACACGGCTACGGCTACACGTTACATCATTATATTGAGGTTTAAAATAGAGTGCGAAAATTTAAGCTTTTTATAGTCTCAAAAAATGCAACGAGGAAGTATTTTAAAAAACGAAAGCACTAAAAAACCACCTCAACTAAATGGCGACACTAGCAAAAGTTGATTTTTGCAGGAAACGAATGGACCAAAGATAGTCATTTCCGTACCTTTTAGCTAAAATATTAAAAAACCGAAATTTGAAAAGTTCGAAACTTAGATATCAATACAAATACGAAAAATTGCAATTAGAATATGAATTATTTATTGAGTTTTGAAAACTAATTTACTTTTAAACATAAAAGAAAACCGGAAGGGTTATCATGGAGAAACCAAGAACGTACCGTAACGATATCTAGTATGATTTCGGGAACTAATGTTTTATTTTTAAATACTTCCTCATTTACTATATACCTATTTAACGGGTTATATTTATCAAAACATTATACTAACAACACGCTTTATTCTTTGAAGTTCGTAAACTTTTACTTTTACAAAAAAAGTAAATGTTTAGGTACATACGTCAAAGTACGCCACATTTGACATCTCTCAATCTCAACTTCAAAGTTATTTATCAAAGAATAAAAGTATTAGGGTAAACATGAAAAAATAACAACATCGTTATTCTAATTACTAAAATATTATTTAAATAATGATAACGTTTAAATTCTCACACTCTCTCACAAAACACTCCACAGACATAACATTGTAGTGGCGTTTAGTTTGTTTGAAATATATTAATTACATTTAGAAAGATTTATTGGCCAAAGTAAAACGTAAAATCGCTTAGGTTTTATATTATGACAATAAATATATTTTAATAAAAAAGAAATTTGCAATCGTACAGTTGCTGTAATTTTGAAAAAAAAATGAAGTAATATGTTTACTACATTACAATGTTAGTTTAAGTTTAGACTTAGAGGTGTCAAATGTGACCTAATATAATGATGACCCAACTGTAGTTTGAAATATCAATTCTCATTCTCATTGATAAATAAATGTTCAGATCTTCAGCCATATCTGCATTTTATACTTAAAAACGTCTTACTTTACGTTAACTATAGCTGAATTGAACGCAAATAATTTTAAGATTAAGTGTTTTTTAATTACGAGATGGATAGAGGAATATCACCACAGCAACTTTACGATTCGTATAAACGATGGGTGATAAATAACCCTAACTTAGTAACCGACGTGGAAACCGTAGCGACTTGGTCCTCATACTTCGTGGCGGGAAAAATAAATAAGTCACCAATAGTATCTGAACTAGTGTATTCGTTATCCAAACTACTGTCCCTTTTCAATGACCGACTCATCAAAGAAGCTTATGGCGGAGATATTCATTATTATGGTTTACGTGATCAAATAAAGCTTTGGTTAACTATCATTCACTACTGTGAAGTGTTTGTCGAATTGGTAATTAAACAGAAGTGTGGCTCGCGTGGTAAGTGGACTGCTGCTACACTAATTCAACTTTTCAAGTGTTCTTCAACATTCATACTCCTGTACAAGTATAAAGAACTACCGATACAACACCCACCTATACCAGCATTACAGCGAAAGAAATTTACTGAAGGAAAGGAGACAGGTGATAACTTAAACTCTTTTTTTACATTGAGACGTTCGGGGAGAGTTGTACGAAGAATAGAGGGAGCTCCACCTGTGTCGTTCAGGGACTGGCAACCGATCAAAATAAACGAGGACAGAACCAGAAGTACAACTCAAATAAATGAACTTCTGTTAGCAGAATCATTACACATTATGAAACCAATAATCCATCTCAGTGCGATGCGATTTTTTGGTACTAAAGCATGGAAGCAGTGGCTGGTGGCACTCACTATTGACATAACCAGTATGAAGTTATACAATAGGCATATTCAACATTTGTCATATGAGCAGAGGATTGAGATTAGTCGTCGAAAACTAAGTCTAGTTTTGTATTTACTTAGGAGTCCAATGTACAATGGATACTCAAAGAATATCATACAGAGTATTCTCACTTCATTATCAAGCAAAATACCAATGGCTGCATTTATTTGTGGTCCAATTATTCAGTATCTAAATCATTGGCAGGAAATATATTTTTACATGTGGGCATCATAGATTTATTTTATAACTTTAAAATCCTGGCATTTATTATTATTGAGCCCAATGTAATCAATAGCAGGAGCATGTGGACTGTAGTTTAATAAAAGATTTATTTTATGAAAATATAAAAGCACAAGATACAGGACAGATAGCAAAGGGACAATAATTGACAAAAGTAAAAAATTAAAAAAACAAATTTAAAATAAATATAAAAGCCTCCTTAAAGAGGCTGATAATATATCAAAAAACATGGTAAAGCTGTTGGCAAAATTCACACTACTCTTACAAAGACTATAAATATTTGAGTATTTTTTTTCATATTTAACAGCTACCTGTGATCACCTGCCTATTAAAACTACTTTTTGAGCAAAATGTGTGTGATACTCTGCAGCTGATGTACCACCATATGTAACCCAAAATATATATTTCTATAATGTCTTGAAATTAAACAAAAAAACATTTCTACTACATACAATAAAATTATGACCAAAAATAAATTTAATTAGTTGCCCCTTAAAAGTAAGATTTATACTAGTTTTATAAGCTTCAAAATTCCAAGTACACAGATACAATTTTTAATTTCCTCTGAGTAAGTGAGGGTGTGACAGGGTATCACATCAAAATAGGAGAGCTATTTATAATGTATCACTCAAATATTGTTTATTATATTATCATACATACAATACATTATATTTATGAAACTTATTATTAAAGTTCTTACAACTTAAATCAATATTTTTTTAGTTTTGTTATTATTACTGAAATGTCACACAGATTGTACCAATTATTTTATAGTTTATATATAAATAAATGTAAATAAGACAGAGGCGGACTTATGCTTTATGCACTCTATGCCAGTCAACCTTACCTGTGTAAGACATAACCCTATGTGTCAGACCAAAAGCTGAAACCATTGATTTGCCGATTGTGAAGAGGTTGACACGCAATATTTAAAAATTTATATTTACCTTTTTTTTTAACATATAGAATAGGGTAATGAAAGTCAACCTGCGGCCGATTCGTAAACTAACATAGCATTCTGCACGTGTAGAGTCACGAACGCGAGTCTTGTGACGTTCGAGAAACTTGACAAACGGGTCTTGAGTGAGATGTGCTGACGCGGGCGGAAAGTTACATTTACTACATTTTTTTTCTTCGTGTTCTACAGAGTTGTCAAATTCAAAGTTTGTTGGTGGGTGGTGGTGGATGTTTTTTTATGTCCGAATATTGCAGTTTGTTGAATAATAATATTAAAAAACTATAATTTGATAAACTGTTAATTAATAATACAGGCGTTGAGTATACTATATAAGGATAGAATGTAAGTATAATATGGTATTGTGTTTATAATTAAAAATAAATTAAATACATGAACTCATTTGTTTTTTTTACTTGTAACTTTCCTTCACCAACCAGTGTTTATACAACCTATAGGAACCAGAACCAACGGTTGACGTGTTGACAGAAAATCTAAAAAAAAAATTATTTCAAGTTTTCAGATTTTACAACTTTCAAAGCAGTAAACAAGTATCTATAACAATGTACACACGGGGACACAATATATCAAATTACACTGCCCATTTTTATGATGCAATTACAAAATAGGTACCTATGAATGCTTTCCACACGCGCAAGATATAGAAGGTGCTATAAATAAAAGCCATTGTAACATTTTCCATCTATATTCGTGACACCGCATTACAATAATGTACGTTCATTAATGTTAGTTACTAATTAATGGTGCTAATTAACAATAATAGTTGGTATCGTTGAGACACAACGGCCCCGCGATCACGGGCGACAGGTCCCGTGCCACACATGTGTGACGGCAGCGGTCGCTGGTGGGACTGGCAGTAACCAGGAGGCCATTCGTACCTCATCTCTGTTCCAACATTGCTTACTCGCCACGGAGTACTTATAATATACAGTTCAGCAGCCATAATGTACAGTACAATAGGTCTCTTTTAGAATTTGATTTAATAATATATATAAAAAAAATTTATAGAAAATGTTAATGTGGTTAGAGTGACCGGCTGGTAAAACAAAATGCATTCACTTAATACTGTTTAGAATTTCCATAATAAGGATCCGTTACAAGTGGTCAGTGATCTATAAATATGCAGCGCCATCTAGCGACCGGCGCAAGTAAGTATCTTCAATGGGGGATTTTACCGAATATATATATATATTTTATTGTCAATTACAAATAATACTAACTATATGTCTGGCAAGATGTTGTCATATCGCAATATAATGTGAATTAAACGTACGTACGTTACATAAATCAAATTATACGAAACAACACCATTGATATCATTCACAAGAAAAATTCCGAGGCAGAATACGATACATATATCTTTATGTCGCAGTCAAAGACGACCGAAACCACGTCTGATACGGGATCAAACTTTATAGTTATTTAATAAACGAGCAAAAACACAATTCATCACTTTTTATTGATTTTTAAACGTCATTCAAAATTGTATGAATGATATCAATAATGTGTGCGATACATTTAATCCCATAAACTCTTTACTCCTGTTACAATCAACGGATTATATCGGTTAGTTATTTATGATTACCCCATTAAAGATGTTATTACAAAAATATTCATAATTCAGTTACCTAAATATATATACTAAATGAATTAATCTACGACTTATAATTACACTCGCTTAGTTCATATTTATTTACACTTAGGTACTAACAAAAAAAGAATACATAAAAATAATTGAGAGTCACTCAACGGATGGTGGTCAGTAGCACAATACACGCTGCAGGGTTGCAGCATCCGACTTGCCGTCTCTCTCTAATGCGATACAAACGCAGAGTGAGCTAGCGCTACACGACTGTACACTATATCACAGTCTCGCATTGCCCCACTCTATTTGTATCGCAATAAGTTCCCACATCGACATACATAATTCATTACAATGACATTTAGCCACGATTGTAAAGGTTCAACTCAATAAATCGCGGGTTGTGCTCAATGAGCCGTAACCTATTTCTGTCGTATCAATAATACATAGCGTATAAATATAATAAAAGGAAAACTTTTTTTTTTAGAAAAACCGTCAAAAGTTCGATGAAACAGACGCAAATGTCATTATTGTATATCCTATCCTATTAATATTATAAAGGCGAAAGTTTGTAAGTATGGATGTATGGATGTTTGTTACTCTTTCACGAAAAAACTACTGGACGGATTTGGATAAAACTTTACAGCAATATAGGTTATACATCAGAATAACACATAGGGTACTTTTTACTGGGAAAACTTCTCACTCCCACGGGATACCGACTTCCACGCGGACGAAGTCGCGGGCGTCCACTAGTAAAGTTATATAGCTATCATGACGGTTTTCTAAAAAAACAACGACCAGACCAGGAAGTTTACAAGAAAAACGGCATCGTAACCAGACGACACTCGTACAGAACGAAACAATCATCTTCCGATTAAGAACATTTGTATACTTATATTTAGAGATCTTATTAATATAGGCTCCGTTTGCGTACACAGCGACGGACTGGCAACATTATATTTATTAGATGAACGTTATTAATTAATCGGGTAAACACTAGACTGAATTGTTATACCTAAGCACAGATCCTGTTCGCAAATCGGACAGAATTATTATTCCGAGTATGTAAACTGACCCTTCTGTGCTTCAGTGGTACTCAAACCCAACAATTTGAGGTTAACCTTTTCAAAAACAAATAGTAATAGTGTTATGAAATGATTGCATAATTTATAATTAATATTCTGTTGTAATAATTCACGACAGAGCAACAGTCCGCCATCTTAAAAATCTAAACTCAAGTGAGGGATAAATCATATCAAATATAAACTACTTTTCATTATAAATATCAAGATTCATTTATATTAAAAAAATGTATTTTATACTATATTAGTCACACACCCAGTTTTAAAAGTAAATATATGTTAGGTATATGTCACTAATTGTTACAAAAATACAGTTATCTGTTACTGAAAGTGTCTGCCGCTTGTTACGAAAACGAGCCTCGGAAAGTATAAACGTGTGGAAAGTATAAATAGGTAATATATGTTATTAATTAGGTATACAAATGTTACAGATTTGTTTGACACGAACAGATAGCGAGTGATCGAATAATGCCCTCCGACCTGTAGAACGAGTGCGCAACTATAGTACAATACATTATACACTATAAACAAACTAAACTTAATCAAGTCTCCCTCGAATCTTATAATCAAGTTATGAACTAAAGCTCTCGACAGCTTAATTCTACTACCCTTCATTGTTTTCATTCAAAAATAACACAACTAGTGAAACATTATCTACAGTCAATACCCTTTATGTGAAATATTTATAATAAGAAAAAGTACCTAAGTAGAAAAAACGTTTTGTAAACATTATCAAAAACATCGACACAGCGTTGTCGGACGGACCGAGCTGGCCAAGAGTGCCTCCGATACCTATATTATACTAGGTAGGTACGTACGTACAGACAGACAGACAGACAGAAAGACAGCACAGCACAGCACAGCACAGCACAGACGATACCGTGCCTGTGATACGCTGCCACTTAAACCTACGATCGGCTTTATATGAGCTACCACCACACTCGAGATATGCGTAATTAATTAGTTCGTTATTAACTTTGAATTTAATTTATTTTTCATAATTTACCTATATCCTCAGTCTTCGCGCGGTTCGCATTGAGGTAATTGCCTCGATTTTAACCTGAAATAATAAACCGCTGTTCAAATTTCGACACCGTATTATACAACAACAAGTATACGACAGTTGGTGGTGTTCTGACATTATTGCTACCTACGCTAACATCTCACAATACCTACACCACACAATACAATATTTTCCCTATCATTTTATTTATTTAATCTAGATTTTTTCAATAGCACTAAACCTAATTTCATTCTACTATCGAGTTAACTTACTAATCGTACTATGATTGATTACATACACGGATTTACCCACACACCTAGTCGGCAGCGTGCGAACGTAACGCATTACAGATAGCACCTTTAACTAAATACGATTCGTCGGTACTTTAATCGAATATATATTTAGAAATTCCTCTCTGACATTCCCCACCGACCGGTTGCAACTGAAGCACAATATCGTATCGACGTCCACGCGGACGGGGGTGCACTTTGTTATTTGTATGACATACAACGTTTTGATTCATCTCCGACGTGAGGAATTGTGACAATAACGTATAACAGTCACGTGATCAGCACCGCGATTCTGTACGAAACCCGACCTGAATTCACATCATCTAGTGTAGGAATTGTATTGATTCCATTTTTTGTATAAAAATACAAAACAAAATTGATTGAATATACGTGTATCGGACATTCTATTCCTGAATGTCATTTCGAAACTCACTTCACTTATGCCATGAAGCATTATTACCAAGGTCGAAAGGATGGCGCTTTTTATAATGAATTCGGTCACGTGAGTTAATTCGAATTCGGATTTGGATTTTTACAGAATCACACGGCTGAAAGCAAATTCTGCCAATGTTTACGCGTAATAATGGCAACTTCACAGAATCTCAACTAGTTGCGTTTTGTCATTGTCAAATACCTGAAGTGAAATATTATAATACCTATATATGTATCTGTAACAACCGCAATGCGAGGAAGACATAGCACGAATAATATAAGACTTCAAGTGGATAGTGCAACGGCAAAATACAAGTTACTACGCGTGAACATTAGGAGAATCGACCCCCCCCCCCCCCCCCCCCGCAGCTAGCTGTCCACCGTGGGTGTGTTATTATTGGTGGTCGCACGATATCGGTGTGTAAACTGAATAAGAATAAGTAGAAGACTATTCCGTTACATAGCGAGTTACTGAAACTAGTGCGGCGCATGAGTACGGCACGCATCAACGAGACTCGGCGGCCACACTACACTACACTACACTACACTACACGAAACATATTAATGCTTCGCCACAGTAACGGCGTACAATTTATAATACTACATTATTAAAATC